TCTGTCTGTCTGTCTGTCTCTCTCTCTCTCTCTCTCTCTCTCTCAACTCTATACAACTATATAAAACTGTAATATAATTTATAACTTTTTGATAATTATATACTAATAATTAAAATATATAATTATATACTCTCTATCTATCTATCTATATCTGTCTGTCTGTCTCTCTCTCTCTCTCTCTCTCTCTCTCTCTCTCTCTCTCTCTCTCTCTCTCTCTCTCTCTCTCTCTCTCTCTCTCTCTCTCTCTCTCTCTCTCTCTCTCTCTCTCTCTCTCTCTCTCTCTCTCTCTCTCTCTCTCTCTCTCTCTCTCTCTCTCTCTCTCTCTCTCTCTCTCTCTCTCTCTCTCTCTCTCTCTCTCTCTCTCTCTCTCTCTCTCTCTCTCTCTCTCTCTCTCTCTCTCTCTCTCTCTCTCTCTCTCTCTCTCTCTCTCTCTCTCTCTCTCTCTCTCTCTCTCTCTCTCTCTCTCTCTCTCTCTCTCTCTCTCTCTCTCTCTCTCTCTCTCTCTCTCTCTCTATCTATCTATCTATATCTGTCTGTCTGTCTGTGTGTGTGTGTGTGTATGTGTGTGTGTATCTGTCTGTCTGTCTATCTATAAAATCTATAAAATGAGCTACTAAAACAATAAAAGCCAAAACTGCAACCACTCAAAAAAGTGTATGCAGAAGAATCATGCCCATTCAAATAGATGTTCAGTCAATTTCAAATGAATCTTACATAATAATAATAATAATAATTGGTATATTAAAAAAGGTTAAATATTGTTGCAGAAGCCATCTAGCTTCTTTCCATCCAACAAAAATGTGTGAAATATATGATATATTAAACATAAAAAAAATAATAACTTTACAATTAATCATATAACATGTAATATAATTTTTTATACTAACTTTTTAATTATTAATGTTTTGCAATGTATTATTATTGATTATTTCCCCCCCATTTGTAACATCTCGAAAAATTAGCTACTAACACATTAAAATGGGGAAAAACTAAGCCAGAATTGCAACCGCTCAGAAAAATAGGTATATGCAGATCCTGCATTCATGTGATTCATGTCAAGGCTGTGAGTTTAGAGGGTATTCCTGTGCACACTGATGTGGCAGCAAACAAAACATGAAGGGTTTGTTTAAAGGGCAAATGTGTGTGAGTGTGTGTGCATGCATGTGTCACCTTATTGTAGTTCCTGGCTGCCGATTCCTTATTCCCGGGTCTGAGTGCTTGCAGCTGTGCGTCTAATATATCCAATAGCTGCTCGATGAGTCTGACAGAGGAACTGACATCACCGGCGTGAATGCGGCCCTGCGTGTGGTTCACCAGCTCAGCAGCGATGTTTGCAGCATTCTCTCCGCTTTTTATCTAAACAGTGAATGCACACACACACAGTCTGTCTCTAAAGCTCAATCCCCTGCTGTGCGCTGTGGGGGTGTGAGCTGGGGGTTTCTGGGTTTATGCTGCTAGACGCACAGACAAAAGACAGCAAATCTTTAATGACTCTCTAAACCAAGCTATTACAAAAAAAAAAAAAAAAGGAAAAACGAAAGCGCGAAACGTGATAAAATTACTCACTTTATTTGAAAGCAGACACATAGCTTGTAATTTCCCTGAAGCAAATGTGTCACTTGACGCTTAGAAAAAAAAGAAAAAGAAAAGAAAAAAAAAACCAGACCACTGTGTTTAAGGTACTCAAAGGTACATCAAAGTGTGCTATGGTGTAACCACTCTTTGTGGTGTTCAGAAACAATGCTGTTAGAATAGTATATAAAAACACACACACACACACACACACACACACACACACACACACACACAC